GGACTAGCAAATGCAAAGGCCCTGGGGCAGGAGAGAGTTTGGCTATTACAGGTACTCCCAGCAGGCTGTGAGCCTGGGGCTTAGTGAGTGAAGGGGAGAGCAGGATGAATGAACCCTTTGGGTTTGGAGTTATGCAGAAAGGCAGGAGAAATGGAAATGGAAGTGGAGAAGCCCCCTCTATTAGCTGATCCTATCCATAAAATTTATGCTGTTAACCTGATTCCTCTCTAATCCAACACTGCTCCTGTTGCCTCTTTCAAAGAGGTCAAAAGAAAAATAGGTTTCTTAACACTCAAAGACTGTCGTCCCTAACATATGAGTAGTCCCACCACCATTGATGTAGACTATTTTAGAAAATAAAGATCTCATCATACAAAAATAAAAAAAAAAATAGTGCTACTAAAAAAGCAATTAGAAAACCCATTTCAAAAAATAACTTCAATTATGTTAATATTTTAAAATTACATACATTTACATCCTTTATGTTATTCTAAGATAAAAATGCTATGATAAATGGAACTAGTGTTTTCGTACAATGAATAAGACACAGAATCCTTGAATAAAAATAGAAAAGGTTACTAGATGGTAAACATATTTTTAGCCTGTAAAAATGAATCCATTTTTACAAATCCAAGGTTGATATAATTAGCTTCTTTGGAAAGAGAACATGAGAACTGTCAAGATGGAATGGATTGTTCTCATAATTCTAAGGTAAACGGTGGTACCAGGAACCATTTACTGCTCACAGTGTTATCACGAATAGTATACAATTTAAATATGTCAAGCCTCTGGACTTTTCCAAACATAGGTTTATTCTGTAATAATTGTATTCTTTTCATCAGAGATTAGAAAATTTTGAGAATATTTTGCCAAACTTTCCTTAAGATAAACTTTCCTTAAAATCATGTACCCTGCAGTTTATCACACCCTACACAGTCAGCATCTAATATTCTCACTCAGACTAGCACTGTTCTGTATATCTCAGCAGTCTGCCTCAAATCCACAACCCATAAATGGCCAGACCTTGAAAACCTATATTCTCATGAAATATTGAGTTCCAAACATTCTATGAGCAAATAGAGTGTATACAAAGAGATAACATTAAACCAGGTGAACCCAAATCCTCCCACCCCTGAGATTTCAGTCCTACTTTTCCTATGCATCAAACTTCTCCATTTTATTTAAATTAATCCTTTAAAATAAACATAATTTCCAAAATAGACAATCATGTAGTTGAAAATACAAAAACACTTCAAGATTTATCTAGTAGCCAGATATGAAGCATATAACATCTCAGTTCATTTTAGGGAAAAAAACAAACCCTCTGAACACAGTAGTGATGAAAACAGCTGAGTCAGAAGAACTGAGATGATATATAAGTTATGTTAACATCAATAACTGAATTGTTCACGAAAGCAAAAGTGTAGAGGACATTTTGCCTGGGAACGGTTCCTTGTTGTTTTTCTCAAGAACATGCCTGTGGGCTTGCAAATGAGCCAGGGCGCCCTAACCCTGCAAACAGGAGGGGCTAGAGAGTTCAGATGCAAACATCTGCTCACCAGAGACGAAACAACAAGGAACGGGACGTGTTGAGTCGGGACAGTGTGGGAACAAAGAAATTGCCGTGGGACAGTTGCCAAACAGGCTGTGTTATAAATAAAGAAACTACAGCAAGAAAGTTTGCTGCAGTCCTGTACCGTCTTTGTGTGTCTATGTCTCTTTGTCTCTGTGTTCATTCCTCGTCCCTAGAAACGGGCCACAACAAAAAGAAATTCTCTCATTGATTGGAAATGTCTATTAAAGTCAAGCCTCAGTAGCACCAAAGCTGAGAAAAACATGATAAGTAGCAGGAAAGAGGGAGAGAAGAGGATGTTCATGTTTACAGCCCTCGGTCTTAGGTTCGTTTTTATTTTTGACCTTTTGTATTTCCATGACTTCTGTGGAAGTTCAATTGTGCATTTCAAGAGATCTTTGTTGTATTTTATCTAGAATTTCTAGGTGTTTTTAAATGCATTTTAGGTTATCTAATCCATCAAAGTGCCAAAACAGCAGATAGAAAAGGGATGTGAAGATATTAGAGCTTGGCTACACCGGCTCCCCTTCTAAATGTAACACTATAACCATAATCTCCTGAAGCCTGCTAAAGAGAATGACCAGATAAAAGAAGAACAAGTCTTGATCAAAGGAGAAAATAAAGAAAGCAATGATGATAAGATACAAAGCGTGATATGGTGATGATCAGCAGAGAAAATAGCACTGGTAGCATAAAACTATGAGAAGCAAGACCCATAACCGTCGTAAGGAGCAACAATCAGTGAATAAAGACAACCTGGATGGACACAAAGGAAGAAAAGACAACTAGAAAATGGCATTTAACTCACGAGTAAAATCCCCTGGTACCTTGACTGATACAATTAGCCATGTGGGCATCTCTTAGAATAAAAATAAAAGAACTTAAAATATAATAACATCCTAGCCTTTGTCAACAAAATAGGATGTCTGAACAAGTCGGGAGGCAGTAGTTCTTCTGTAGTCTGCGTTAGCTAGACTGTATCTAGAGTACTGTGTTCAACTGTGGCTATTTAACTTTTACAGTACTGTTGACAGATTAGACTGTGTCCAGAGAAGAGGGTCCCAAACAATAAAGAACCTAGAAAAACATCATATGAAGAACAGCTGATGGTTACGAGAAGGTTTAAACTAGGGGGGAAATATGATGTGTCTTCAAATAATTCAGAAATAACATTCCTCCCATTCGAAAGGAGACTTCTCCTGCTATTTAACTGGGGACTTGAAGCCTCTGTCTTTCCCTATCCTCTTTTCCTTCACTTCTATCTCAAGGGAAGCACCCTTTTCCCTCATTAAAGCTAATTCTCCACTTGTGCTCTTTATTCTATCACATTCTGCTGCTTCTTGAATTCTGCTCATCAGCTATCTTCACCTTTCGCATCTTCAGTGCCCTATTTCTCCATAAACATACATGCCTTTCCACTACCCAGAAATTAAACAAACAATAAAAGAAACTTCCTGTGAAACTGCTATCACTTCAAGCTTCTATCCCATATCTCACTTTTCTTTATTACACACTTTTTGAAGAGTCATCTTCTCTCTTTCAGGCACAATTTTTATCTAATTTTGTTATTGTTATATCCTCTGGCACATGGCAGGCAATGCCTTGCACACAGCAGGCACTCAATAAATATATGGCAAATGGATGAATTTATTATATGACATTGTGCTGTTTTGGCATTCCTCTTGTAACTTCTTTGCAGATCACTTTTTCCAGAAACTACCTAAATATTCTTTATTCAGTCTCTTCTGTCTCCCTACATTCTCTTTCTTGTAAGCTCTTTTATTCTACGGCTTCATCTCTCACTTCTCTGAGGCTAGCCCCAAATAGAAACCACCTCTGACCCTCCAGCCTCAGTCAGGGTGGCCAATTTGTTTCCTTTATAATGCTTACTGCAATTTGTAATTTTTATGTTTGTATATGTGTTTATTTTCTGTCATCCCTACTAGTCTATCAACTCCCTGAGGGTAGGAAACAAATTTTCTTGTTCATGAAGCATGGTTTCTGAGAAGGCCGGGGTTGGGGGGATAGGACATCCTTACAGAGAAGCCAGGTTTCATTTAAAAGTAAGAGAAAGGGAATTGCTGGGGTGGTGAGTAAGATCGGTCAGTGAAGGCCTCCCCATTAAGGTGACATTTGAGGAGACACATGAGGAAAGCAGGGGAGGAAGTCCTATGACTAATAAGGCAAAGGCCTCAAGGCAGGACACAGTGTTCCAACGAGACCAAGGAGGCCAGTGTGGCTGAAGCTAAGTGAAAAAGGACAAAGAGTAATAGGCGGAGGCTTCCGAGAGATAATGGAACCAGGTCATATAAGACCCTGTCAGCCACTGTAAGAACTTCGGCTTTTGCTCTGAGTGAGATGGGAAATCAATGAAGGTTTTTAAGCAGCAAAGTGAAATGACCTGACTTAACTGAATGAGATCACTCTGGCTGCTTTGTGGAAAACAGACGAAGGGACTGTTATGGACTGAATGTTTGTGTACCCCTAAAACTCCCATGTGAGACCTTAACCCCTAGTGTGACTGTGTTTGGATACAGGGCTTTTCTAGAAGTAGTTAAAGTTAAATTAGGTCATAAGGTGGGGCCCTAGTCTAATGGGACTGGTGTCCTTGTAAGAGGAGAAGACATCGGAGATCTCTCTTTCTCTTTCTGTTTTTTTTTCTCTCTCTCTCTCTCTCTTTCTCCATTTGTGCATGGAAGAAAGGCCATGTGAGGACACGGCAAAAAGGCAGCCATCTAACAAGCCAGGAAGAGCCACCACCAGGATCAAACTATCAGAACTTTCATCTTGGACTTTCCAGCCTCCAGACCTGAAAGAAAATAAAGTTCTGCTGTTTAAGCCACTCAGTCTATGGTACTTTGTTATGGCAACGTGATCGGACAATACAGAGGCAAAGGAAAAAGCAGGACAACAAGTTAGGTGGCAAGAGATTATCAGGACTTGGGCTATGGTGGTAATAATGAAGGTAACGTAACCTAGTGAAATTCTGTATACAGTGTGAACACAGAGCCAATAGGATTTGCTGAGGGACTGAGTGTAAAACATGAAGAAAACTCTAAAGTTCTGGGTCAAACAACTAGAAGGATGGCACTGCCATTTTCCGAAATGAGAAAGACTAGATAATAGGCCAATTTGGGGAGAAAAAGATGGAGAAGATAAATTTGCAGTTTGAGAAATGTTGAGGTCGATATGCTTGTTTGTCATCCAATAGATACGTTGAGTAGGTAGGCAATTACACAGACTGATTTAGAGTTCAAGGTGAAGTCTATAATGAAGAAATAAACTTGATAGTTGTCAGATAAAGATGACATTTGAAGCCAAGGGACTGGATTAGGTCAACTAGAAAGCAGGTACAGACAGAGAAGAAAAGATGCCTGAGCACTAAGACCTGGGACACTCTGATAGTTAGAGATCAAGAAGATGACAGCAGCTGCAGAGCCGAGAATGGGAGAAGAGTGGAGTATTTGAGTAGCACACCGGCCTCCTCACCTCTCTCTGCGCCTCGCTCTCACGGCCTGCATGCCTGCCCACCCGCCCGCCTGTTCGCCGCCCAGAACACCTTCCACCATGGCCACCTCAGCAAGTTCCCACTTAAACAAAGGCATCAAGAAAGTGTATATGTCCCTGCCTCAGGGGGAGAAAGTCCAAGCCAGGTATATCTGGATCGATGGGACTGGAGAAGGACTGCGCTGCAAGACCCGCATCCTGGACTGTGAGCCCAAGTGTGTGGAAGAGTTGCCCAAGTGGAATTTTGATGGCTCTAGTACTTTACAGTCTGAAGGCTCCAACAGCAACATGTATCTCGTGCCTGCTGCCATGTTTTGGGACCCCTTCCGCAAGGACCCCAACAAGCTGGTGTTGTGTGAAGTTTTCAAGTATAATCGAAAGCCCGCAGAGACCAATTTGAGGCACACCTGTAAACGGATAATGGACATGGTGAGCAACCAGCATCCTTGGTTTGGAATGGAGCAGGAATATACTCTCATGGGGACAGATGGGCACCCCTTTGGCTGGCCTTCCAATGGCTTCCCTGCGCCCCAGGGTCCATATTACTGTGGTGTGGGAGCAGACAGAGCCTACGCAGGGATATCGTGGAGGCTCATTACCGAGCCTGCTTGTATGCTGGAGTCAAGATCGCGGGGACTAATGCCGAGGCCATGCCTGCCCAGTGGGAATTCCAGATTGGACCCTGTGAAGGAATCACCATGGGAGATCATCTCTGGGTGGCTCGTTTCATCTTGCATCGTGTGTGTGACGACTTTGGAGTGATAGCAACCTTCGATGCTAAGCCCATTCCTGGGAACTGGAATGGTGCAGGCTGCCACACCAACTTCAGCACCAAGGCCATGCGGGAGGGGAATGGTCTGAAGAACATTGAGGAGGCCATCGAGAAACTAAGCAAGCGGCACCAGTACCACATCCGCGCCTATGATCCCAAGGGGGGCCTGGACAATGCCCGGTGCCTAACTGGATTCCACGAAACCTCCAACATCAACGACTTTTCTGCTGGCGTAGCCAACCGTAGCTCCAGCATCTGCATTCCCCGGTCTGTCGGCCAGGAGAAGAAGGGCTACTTTGAAGACCGTCGTCCCTCTGCCAACTGCGACCCGTTTTCGGTGACAGAAGCCCTCATCCGCACAGGTCTTCTCAATGAAACTGGCGATGAGCCCTTCCAGTACAAAAACTAAGTGGACTAGACTTGCAGCTGTTGAGCCCCCCCTGGTTCTCCATCCCACTCCAAATCTTCCCCCTCTCCCTGTTGCCCCAATTGTAACTCAAAGGGTGGAATATCAAGGTCTTTTTTTATTCCTTGTGCCCAGTTAATCTTGCTTTCTTTGGCTAAGATAGAGGGGTCAAGTTCTTAATCTCTTTGCACCCACCCTCCTTTTTTCCCTATCACAGAAGCTTTCTAGTGCGTTAGTGGGTGGGGTGGGGGGGACTTAACCACTGCTTCCATTTAATGGGGTGTGCTTGTCCAGTAGGCATAGCTATCCAGACGGAGCACATGTTTTCAGGAGAAAGAGGAGTTTTTCTTTGAGGTAGTCAAAAGTGGAAGGCTTGGCTTACTATTCCAGGTCAGAACTTCCCTTCTTGGTGGAAAGTTTCTTAAGTTTCTTAGAACCAACTTTCTAGAAACAGTGGGAAGTGGGAGAGAAAGTAGGGACTGGAGATCAGGGAGGAATATGCCCTTGCTCTCTCCCCAGGCTTCTCTTACCTGGGGTTAAATGCCCTCCCCTCAACACAGAGCTGAATAAACTGATGGATAGCCCTCTATCTACCTTAAAAGAAGAAAAGGTTCTTATTGCTTGGTCCTCCTTTATAACACAAAGCAGAGTAGTATTTTTATATTTAAATGTAAAAACAAAAATATTATATATATAGGGGTGTGGATTATGTGTGTTATTCTAAAGATGAAAACCATCTGGGTCACAGGGAGCCAAAGTAAAGGAAATAATCTGGTTTAGAGATGAGTGTCTCCTTTTGAGGGGGAGGCGGGGGAAGGGGTGCTTGGAAAGTTGGTGATTAGGGGTTAATTCCCTGTTACCACTTGAGGGTTTCTCTGCCCTGCCCACCCTCCAGAGGAGGTGGGCACTGCTCAGTTGACATATGGACGCGGTCACTTGATCCCCAGGGCTCTGTTTTAAAAGACACACATATACTTGTCCACACACGGGTTTAGAAATGAGTTGGCTGGTCAACTTGAGCATGTTACTGACAGAGGGGATATTGGGGTTATTTTCTGGCATGTCACTAAAGCAGACCTTTTGATATATTAAAAAAATTTTTTAAAGCAAAATAGAAGTTTTAGAGTTTAATCAGATTTGTAGGGTTTCTAATTTTACGTAATTGCTTATTTGCTTCAACAATGTCCTTCCACCTCTGCTCTTGGAGGAGAGGGAGACAGGGCTGTTGGCAAAACTTGTGATTTTGTATCCTGGTGTCTTCTCCCAGTGCAAAATATTCCTTTCCTTTGTTAAGATGCGGAGGAGTTATTTTTTTCTTTTATAATAAAAACCTCACCTTCATCCTCAAAAAAAAAAAAAAAAAAAAAAAGAAGATGAGAGCAGTTAACCATAGAATGGGAATATGGAAGATTACACTACTGGCTCCTCCTTTTATGTGTCATTTGCTATATGACTTTGCAGTTCTTACCACTTATGTGAGTGGGGTTATTTCTCCACCCTTTGATTTGAGACTTGATTTTGTAACTTGCTTTAGTCAATGGATGGCAGCCAACATGAGGCAAACAGAAGCCCAAAATGTGCTTGCTCGGTGGGGCTTGCTCCCTTGTGCTTAGGCCACACCTCGGTTAGTCCCAGGAGGAAGATAATAGATACGTGGAATAGAGCTTCCCAAGCTAACTTACAGCATCAGGCAGAGCTTCCCTAGCATCTTCTTCAAGAAGAAGCCACCAGGGAACTAAATGAGAACCAAAAGAGAGTGGCACCTCAGAGGTCAAAAGAAAAGAGTAGTTAGAACAAGAGGGAAGGATCAACTTTGTCAATGCTGTTGATGTAAGTGAGATGAGGAATAAGGATGTTGGGTCTAACAATACAGCCATCACTGGACACCTTGGCAAAAGGAAAAAACGAGGACTTTTAAAAGAATAAGGGAGTTGGAGTGGCTTTAAGAGAGAATGGAGGAAAGGAGTTTGATAGCAATGAGTGAAAACAAGCCTTTCTAAATATGTTTCTGTAAAGGGGAGCAGAGAAAAGTAATAGTAACTAGAAGGAAGATGTGGGATCAAGAGAGAGGTTCTTTCAAAGATGGGAAATATTACAACATCTTTATGTCCGTATGGGAAGGACAGAGTTGAGAAAGAAAAATTTACCACATTTGAGACAGAGAATATTTGCCAGAGCAAGGTATCCCAACAGACAGAAAGGGATAGGGTCTGATGCACAAGGAGGGGAGGTAGCCTTAGATATAAACCTAAAAGGTCCATATAAAGCATCAGGAAGGAGAGCAGATACACGTACACTGGCAAACATGATGGTGGAAATCTGTGACTGCTTCTGTTTTCTCGGTGAAATAAAAGCAAAGTCATGATCAGAGTGAGATAACAGAGAAGGAGGTGTTGAAGTTTTGAGAGGAGAGAAGCTGTGAAATCATCACCTAGGGAAGTCAGAGAGTAAATGGATTATAATGGATAAAGTAATCTATTTATGCACATATCTTATTTCCCCATTATAAGCCTTTGAGAGCAAATACTGTACCTTACTCAGCTTTGCATCTTAACAGCTCCTAGCAGGGAAACTTGTGCTCTTTATTAATTTTATGTAATTTTACTTTCATTCCCCTTAACATTTATATAAAGTCTAATTGGCTTAATGTTATGCTAGTTCTTTAATTCTTCTAATTTCCATAAGAGAAACTTATAACAAACACACACAGTTAAAGCACTAACATAATACAGCATCATCACTACCTGGTTACCCAAAACCAAGTGCAAAATCCACAGAAATAATTGCTAATTTCAAGAGAAAATTGACAATTTGACCTTACTCTCTTAATATCTTAATATGATTCATTCTCTTTAATAAGAAATCTTAAAAGACTAAAGGGTTTATAAATAAATATATGACATTTGCCCAAACAGGAATTAAATTATTTACCAGCTCAAATATGTATTATAATTTAAAATTGTTCAGAGAAATGAAGCAGAAAACAAAACTTCTAGAGAAAAGACTAACATATATGCTACATTGAAAAAACATATGCTATTACAAGGAAAAGACAAGATCATCCAAAGCCATCTATAAATTTGATTTACTCATAAAAACTTGAATGTAATTAAAGTCTAAAAGTACATTATTATAATTTATCAAATGGGATTATCTCTAAGACTCCTAATTCTCAACTGGTTAACTAGAGCAATTTAATGAATGTTAAATCCACTGAAACAGTTTAAGGTTACTGGCTGTCATTGTTCACTCTCAGACAGTGAGAATATCAACAAACTACTTGATATTGACAATAAATGTTGGCGTGGATGTGGAGAGATAGGAATGCTCATACACTGCTGGTGGGACTACAAACTACTACAGCCTCTGTGGCAAGTAATATGGAGATACCTCAAAGAGCTACAAATAGAACTACCATTTGATCCAGCAATCCCATGACTAAGCATATACCCAAAAGAACAAAAGACATTCTACAAAAAAGACATCTGTACTAGACCGTTTGTAGCAGCACAATTCACAATTGCAAAGATGTGGAAACAACCTAAGTGCCCATCAATACACAAGTGGATTAATAAAATGTAGTATATGTATACCACGGAGTTCTACTCAGCCACAAAAAACGATGGTGATATAGCACCTCTTGTATTATCCTAGATAGAGCTGGAGCTCATTCTACTATGTGAAGTATCACAAGAATGGAAAAACAAGCACCACATGCACTCACCATCAAATTGGTATTAACTGACTAACACTTAAGTGCACATATAGTAATAACATACATTGGGTGTCCAGCAAATAGGAGCGGAGTGGAGGGGATGGGTATATACACGCCTAATGGGTCGGTGTGCACTGTCTGGGGGATGGACACACTTGAAGCTCTGATTCAGGTAGTGCAAAGGCAATATATGTAACCTAAACATTTGTACCCCCATAATATGCCGAAATAAAAAAATTAAAAATAAATAAAAAATAAAAATAAACTACTTGATATTAAAAAATTTTGAATGTGAACAAAGGCTTGGATCAGGTGACAACAGCAGGAATGGACACAATGAGATAAATGCAGAAGGGATTTTAAAACGGAATTGACCAAGCCTGGTTACCAGTTGAAGAGCTGCCCACATGTAATCAGTTAGGATACTTCCAAATTACATGTTGAGACGGAGCTTGATTTTTCACTCTTCATTTGACAAACAAGTCAGTCAAAGACAAGAACAGAAAAATAAGAGGAACAAACAAAGTCTACAGGAAATATGGAATTATGAAAATAGGCCTAACATAAAAATCATAGGCATCCCTGACAGTGAAGAAGAAAATACAGAAGGACTGGGAAAACCTATTTGAGGGAATAATTGAGGAAAACTTTCTGGTCTTGCTAGAAATTTAGAAATCCAGGTATAAGAAGCTCAACGGACTCCTGGGAGATTCATCTCAAAGAGGCAATCACCACGACACATAGTCATCAGACTGGCCAAAGTTAACACGAAGGAGGAACTCCTACGAGCTGTAAGGTGAAAACATCAGGTAACTTACAAAGGGAAACCCATCAGACTACCTGCAGACTTCTCAACTGAGACCTTACAAACCAGAAGGGATTGGGGCCCCATTCTCAGTCTTGTCAAACAGAATAACGTCCAGCCTAGAATTGTGTACCCTGCAAAACTAAGTTTCTTATATGAGGGAGAAATAAAGACTTTCTCAGACAAGCAAACACTGAGGGAATTTATCAAGACCAGACCTGCCCTGCAGGAAGTACTCAAATCTGCATCGTACATTGATCAGCACAATAGACACCTGCCAGTGTAAAATCATCTGAAGCTACAGTTCATAGCCCAGATAGTACAATGGCTCAAGAGGTAAAACAAAGCAATAAGGTTCTACTCAATGGGATGAACAGAAATTCACCCCACTTATCAATTCCTTTCAATAAATGTGAACAGTTTGAATTCCCCACTCAAGAGATATAGGCTGGCTGAATGGATAAAAAAATCCAAATCAAGTTCTACTGTCTTCAGGAAACACATCTAAACCACAGGGACTCCTCCATACTCAAGGTGAAGGGATAGAAAACAATATTCCATGCAAATGAAGACCAAAATAAAGCTGAAGTAGCCATTCTCATAT